GGGAATGGGTAATCGGGTTATTGTTGGTCGGTAAAAATTAAATATAATTATTTATTGCGGGTTGAAAACCCTATATGCTCACCAGGCTCCCAAGCCTGACCCACTCAGTTTATTTGTATTACAGGAAGTGGCGCAAGGGCATAAGATGGATGAATCATCAAGTTGTTTTGTTTATGAGCCTTTATATGAATTCAACTGTTGTATTGCTTGTAATATTTGTTTATGCTTTTGGTCTGTTTATCGGAACATGACATCCCGAATATTGTTATAAATTGATTATGCATCTTTGATAAAATGCTTTGATAAACTTTATTTTATCATATTTTGTTTTGGGATAAATTCCGCAACTCTTTTGAATAAAAGAAAAAGATTTACTCTGAAAATATTTTTAAAAGCATAAATAAAACCGGTCTTTTCTGGCCGAGATTTTGGGGATGTCACACTAGCCAACTCACCGAGTTGTCTCATCAACTCGATGAGTTCACTCAATATCCAGAAAACGGGGAAACGTTATCCAACTCGTTGTGTTGCCAGAGCAACTCGTCGAGTCCCCCCCTGTTTGCTTATTCTGATGATATATCGATTGCAGAGACCATATGGCTTAGATCTGAAACTTAAAGGTGTCTAGAAGGATAAAGTTTCCAACTTTATCCTCTAGAACCACTCTGAATGCTCTAAATCCCTTAACAAATGTTGGAAAGCACAAAAGCTTAGCCATGTGGTTCAAGACTCTAGGGATCTGGAATCCCTCCTTTCCAGAAGAGGTTCTAATCCTCAAAATGTTCCAAAGATGGAGGCTTTATGGACATGCATGTCCAATGTATGTCTTGAAGTCAAAATAGCCAACAAGGGAAAATATACCCTAAGATCCATGCATGGCATGCATGCTTGACTAAAAGCTAAATCTAGCCCACCATAGGACCATTTTTCCCTGGAGATTCATAAAGTTGCAAATTGTATGAACCCCATGCATGCAATCAACAAGAATGATGGGAAATGAAGAGTGAACTCAAGATCTAGTCATATTTTAAGATAAAAATCGAATCTTGAATGCTTACAATAGTCCACAAGATGGTCAAGCTCAAGAGTGAGGGCTTTGTTTGCTGGATCTCCTCCTTCTTGTCACTATCTTCTTCCTCTCAAGCTCCAAAAGTCACACTAGCTCACAATATGAAAGGAAATGGGGTTTAGGGTTTAGCACTGACGTTCTAAGGGTTTGGAGGCTAATGGAAGGTGAGCCTCAAGGTTTTAAGCAGATTATATTGGGTGCAAACCCTAAAATTCAGGGTTTTCCTTTACACCGTCTACTCGTTGAGTAGGTCCTAAATCCTGCGTCCCATAATGATCTCTACTCGGCGATTTTGAGCTCCCCAACTCGTCGAGTTCCAGTCTTAAACCCTAAAATTTTAAAAAGAAATAGATAGCTAAAATGAGCGTTACAGGAAACAATTGTGGTTGATTTTTATAAGTATAAAAGTTAAAATTTTGTGTAAAATTTGGGATGTTACATGAACCCATCTGGGTCTGGTGCTTTCTCATTGCCACAAGCCTAGACAGTAGCCTTTATTTCCTCAAGTGAGAAACACATTTCTTGATCTCGTCCTCCATAACCGGCCTACTCGATCCACTCATCTTCCCCCACCATGTTTCAAACTTTCGTTGCCTCAAACTCTACTCAAAACATATCTAAAAACAATAATCACAATAATCCATGTTTTTCAAACAATCGGGGGAGATAGACTAATCAATGCCGCCAACCGTCTTCTTTGTCACCATCTTAGTCATCATCGCTGCTTTGGCAACCCTACCTGATGCCACGCCAACTGGCCTCTATGTCACCATCTTAGTCATTGTCGATAACTTGTCACCACCTTTGTGGTTAGGGTGGCAAATCTCAACATGACACAAACCTGCGACAAAAATAAACAAATTTGTGTAAGAGATTTCAAATTGTTTAATTAAACGAATTTAGACGACACTATGAAAATTAAACGCATAAGGTCAGGGTCCAAATTTTTAATAAGAAATGACATGAAAATGACCATTTTATTTAAATGCATCTTACTTTAATCTTTTATGTAATTTGGTATGCCAAAAACAAAAACGAAATGTAAACAAAAACTTTGGATTTAGTCATTTTGTAATGGGGAAGCCAATAATTAGCCGCATGAGTTATCACCTATTTTTAGTTTTTCACTTTTTTTTTAATATCCCATACTCCACAATCTGACTTAGCCACTTCGCTTCACTATGACTTCCCTCCTCTAAATTTATTGTGAAATTCGCCCATTCAACTCCCTACTACTACTCCATGCTTGTCACTTTCTCTTTTCCACCTCCTCTAAACCCTAAACCCATCAACCCAACACAACTCAAAATGGAAATAAACTAGTTGATACAACACGATAATTAAAAAAGTCGGGTTAGGTTCAAGCTATTGCAACCCATTTAAATGTCAAATAGATAAAAAAACATGACATGACACGACGCGATATGGTTGTCGCTTATACTTTGTCAGATGTTACCGATTGCCAACTGTTGATCCATACTCCATAGTGGTATCATCACCAATGTTTTAAAAGTTATTTTGAACCGACCGGTTGAACCACTCACACTGGAAAGCGGGGACAAGAGTTGTTCAACAGCGACCAATTTTATGCCAATTTCTAGACCGGATCGAACCGACGATTTCTTTAAAAACCGAGTAAAACCAGTGTGACAGAATCAGTAAAAAGCCTTTTGAACCGGTTTGTTGGACTTGTATAATTTGATTTCACTTAGCCCATTAAAAACAGTCCATTCCCAAAGAAAATTGAATAGCTCGATCGATTAGGATATACGTAGTGTATACAACTCGAAGGCCGATGCACACCACTGCCAGATGTAGACCAACTGTTGAACCAGTAGTCGAACCGGGAATCAGTTATTATTCCAGTTCAACTAAAAATTGATTTTTTAAAACATAGAGAATCATCCCTAACCATCGCAACAATAAGAAGACATGCCCATACATTCAGGAAGCCCAATGGCCGATATAGAAGTTATGTTTCATACTTAAGCTTATGATGCTTCCATTACTCAACCTTGGCAGTGGTTTCCCCTAACGATATATGACAATGAAAAATAATTTTGTTAATGCTTTCTAGACAATGACACTCAAGACACAACTGACGTTGGATTGTATACAAATATTATTGGCATCACATCTCATCTTTCCTCAAACATAGGTATACTCTTTTCTATTACCTCTAAAAGACCATTTAGTTCGTCCTTGTTGGCAATGGTTTATCCATGTCTGTCACCCACGTTGGACAAACCCAAAGATAATAAAGTTACTATTGAATTTGATGAATTTTGATATTCGTTGATGGATTATTGTACCCGCCAGATCCTCATTCAGTATGACAGCTCATGTGACTTATATCTGGCCATTCAATCTCGATCTCATGTTGCTCTCTTTTCCACCACCGGGTCTTTTTGGAATCAATTATTGGCATGTCCTCATGTCCTTGATTCTTTTTTAATTAGTTGTTTTATCTCATGTAATAAAAGCGACGGTAGTTTGTCTTGCCATGCTTGTCATCTTGAAAAACACATTCATTTAGCTTTTGATAGTTTAAATACAAATGTTTCTTATATGTTTTGTATTGTATAGTCTAATCTTTGGACTTCCCTTAATATCAGTTATCAGTGTAAGTGGCATAAATTATTATATCATGTTTTTAGATCATTACTCTTATTTCTTCTGGGTTTATCGCTTATGCAATAAATCTGACACATTTGCAAGATTTCTCCACTTTCAAGCTTATGTCCAAAACTAATTAAACATATTTTTTTTGAACGGCTAATCTAATCTAATACTAAACTACTCATAAATCACCTGTCTCAGACGATATATGATACCGTTGGTTAGAAGGGCGTTAGTTAATTAAAGAGAATTAATCAAATCCTTCCATTGTGATCATGGCACGGAATTTGACAATCTCCGCTTCTTGCAAAAGAATGGAAACATCATTGAAATGCCTAGTAATGTTTGATTCGCTTGATACAAAAATGGATAATGAAGATATTACCTATATATACAGTGACATTTAAATTTGGTTATATGCTAATATTTTTTGGTTTCTTTGTGTTAAATTCTCTTTCTTTCATGTTAATATGCCAGTTTTTGAATAACACTCCCATTTTTTTTGTCTATCATTTTGCTTGCATTTTGTGCTTCCATATTCAAACCAAAACTGTAGCAATATTTTTCATTAAAGTGACCAAGTTAAACGATTCAAGTTTCAAATGAGAGCATATAATACATATTTTGTAAATATAAAAAGCTACAACAAATGAATTCGAAATTTACTCAAAATCAACCTTCGGTTTTGGAATTATTTTGGCATAGATACGACCAACTATGCACATATATTCATAATTTTTTAAAGGCATTTCTGGATTTTGGTTTGGAAATCATTTAAATCATTGTCTATTGATTAAAATATCAAAAACAAACAACTATATCTATAGTGTTTAATCCATAAATTTCATTATTAAAGTAAAAGCAAACAACCCCTTATAAAACCACCAACCAACTTCTAAAAAACAAACAATCACAAGAAAGAAACAAAATTGTATCTAATAATTTTCATAGGTCCAAAAAAAGTCATAACATCCAAAAAAACCGTTCTCCAAAGTTAAAACTAATGTATGTTTTTCTATGTTACAATTCTTATTCATTTTTTTTTCTTTTCGCTTTTTTCTCTGTTTTATTATTATTATTATTATTATTATATTATTATTTGTATTATTATTATTATTATTATTTTTCATGTTTTTATGTGTTAAATGAACATCTCAAAACATCATTTCAATATGCCAAAAAAAATCCATGATATCCCACATAATTCATCATCGAGATCTTCTCTTTAAAAAAAAAAAAAAAAAAAAAAAAAAAAGTAATCTGTTACTTATAAACCATCTGTTCCATCGTTATTCGCATTTATACCCGAGCTTCACTTGAGCCATGGTTGCCCCCTGAAAACCATGGACGCCTCCACCATGTTGCAATTCGATACCGAATTACCATTAAAGCTTTCAACATTAATGGAACTTGGGATAATCCATCTCATCCAATCATTTCGCTTCCTCAGCTTCTCACCCTACAAAATGAATTTTAGTATCAAGCCCCATAACATAGTTATATAGAATTTAATATTTTTATGAATTAACACATGTTTGGTCGACTTGAAAAAGATTAATACACACCCGCACTTCCACAGCTCTTGATGCCCGCATTACATCAACAATTAGCTGAACACTGTCAGTTAAACACAAAACCTGCAATAAAACAGGGATATTAATTGATATCAAATGAAGCATAAAAAAGAGAGTGTATGAAGAGATCAATATCAATGTGGCATGGTGGTAATTAATCACTTTATATGAAACACTTTAAAATGGAGTTGACCCAAGTTTGAATCTCATAAGCTTCAAAAAATGTGTATGCATCTTGTATATAATACTTACTTTCTTGAAGCCTGCTATTAAACTCACATGAACCCAGCCTTGTTCGTCCATCTTTTGTCGCAAGTATATATCTTTAACCAAATTCTCATCACTGCAACAAACCGAGATAAGACTAGATGTTAATTGTCTGGAACTAATTATAAACCACCACAAAAGTTTTAGATATAAGAGATTATAAAGAACCTGAAATAGTAATCAATTTGTTTCACAATCTTTTCATGCAAATCTTGATTTTGACCAGGAAACGACACTGGAGATTGCATCCGTGTAATCAGCGATGGAGAAGGAGTTGAACCTTGAACATAAGACGCCAAATCTGCATGTACATAAAATGCATTATACAAATAAAACAGAAAAAGGTTTGTAAAAATTAAATACATCAACCTAATTTGTATTTGCAGTTGGATTTCTTTTTTCTAACTTTGAACAACTTGTCACTAATTTAAGTACTATTTTTCATATTATGAAATATAATGAATTATTTATTTAACAAGTTAGTGTTGTAAAAATACATCAACCTAATGTTAGCCCGTGTGATAAATAAGTTGAGATGGGTTACAAAATCTAACCCGTTTATCAAAACCAGTTTGGTTAGAAATTCATAACCTGTTTAATTCAACATGGAGAGTTGAATTAACAATTTTCTAATATATTTAATTAAACATGTCAACTTGAACCCAACTCAACAAAATTGATTCACAACCTAATAATAAAAAGCTTACCAGGGTACATGAAATTGTTGCCAAAAGGGCGAACTGGCACATGCATTTGTGGAGGCATAAAAGAATTTGAAACGTGTGGAGAGGTTCCACGATTCACAAAACCCCTATGAAAGCCCCTCTGACGCTGCATGTTGTTAAACCTTGTATGCTGGTTCCACTCCCGAATGCCACTTGGACGTTGTCCGCCATTGTTGCCTCTTCTTGAAGAATCCATTAATTGCAACAGTTGCAGGTTTTCCAGATATTCTTTACGAGGGAGTTTCGACTTTCGGATGTATGTATGTATATATATGCATCAAGCACAGGTGCTGCATTATTTAGTATTGTAGTAGGATTCAAATTATCCCACCACAGCTCTGTTTCCATGTATAATACTAACGATTTCCACAAGTTTAGATAGGGTATCGTAGCTAAGGTTTATCAAGATTAAGGAACTCGAATTTGTTTCCTTATGTAGCAAGAATTACATGAACTACCCCTTTGAAATTAGGTTTATACCTACCGACTTTCGTCCGCAGTTCCATGTCATTCAAATGTACACGTCAGCCCCCCATTTTATTAGAATCTTCCACAATCCACCCTAAATAAATGTAATTCAGTCACCGATATTGGTTACGGGATAATTTTGTATTTAAAAATGACCGTAATTTCATACAAAACTTTCAAAACAAATAAATAAAATTTAATAAGAAAACCCCCAACTATCCACAATTTTTATAAACCACCGCCTTGCAAAAATCTTGATGGCTTGCAAATTTTTTCGGCCAATCCACTCTAAATTAGTGTATGTCAATCACGGAAATTGGTTATTAGATAATTTTCTATTTATAAAGGACCATGATAGCTAATCTTTCCAAAAAAAATTAAAAAATAAAAAGAAGAAAACCTCAAATAGATACAATATTTGCAGGCGGTGGCCTGCAAATAATTGAATTTCACTCAAACAAACAAAGATGAACTTAAATATGTTGTTCAGATTGCAAGAACTAAATCTTCAGGTACCAAATATCTCACAAGAACGGTATCAACACCTTCTTCGACTTCTCAATCACACAAAGATTTAATCATTTTCCAGTCATGCCAATTCGTCCATCCTTGAAGGTGCAATGCATTTCGACAGTAATTTCTTCTCATTTTCACATTTTGCTTAATGTGTATAAATCATTTGCCATATTTCAACCATACTTATCCTTCAACATAGACATTGGAGAAACCGAATATATGTGTTCTAACCAAAAAAGGTTTTTGTTTTTTTTAACCGACAAAAGAAGATATATATCAAGAAAAGACAACCCCTAGCAAGATGCTAGGAGAAAAATTACAAGGCTAAGAAACATCAAAGGCAAGCAAACATTACAGGTTACAAATATAGAAAGGAAGGGTGTTCCATTCAACCCAATCTAAATTTCCGCTACAACCCTCGTGTTTGAACCAAAGAAAAGTCATGGATTTGATTATATCGGCCACTTTTGTGGCACACACCTTTTTGTTGTTAAAGAGTCTTTCATTTCTCGCTTTCCAAATACTCCAAAGGGTACCATAACAATGTCTATCAATATTTTCTTTTTCTTTGGACAGTTTCCCCAGTTGGAGGCATAATCAAGCACATCTACCCTGTTGAAGTTGGATTGTGGCACATTGCACCATTTAAAAATTCATTCCATGACATTTGTTGCAAAGGGGCATTGTACCAGTGTGTGATCGCTAGTCTGATCTGACAAATCACATTGACAACACGAGACAGATGGAAGAGGTATGTTTCGATTAGAAAGAGCCACTACATATGGAATTAGCCCAATTCTTGCCCTCCAGATAAAGCACGTGACTTTTAGTGGGACCTCTTTGAGCCAATCGAACCTGTTTATATCCGTCAACCTTTTATCTTCTAGAAAGTGTCTAGGAGCTTTTACCTCATACTTGCCATCCGCTATCAGATCACATTTCCATGATACTCCGTTAACCCCCTGATTTTGTCGGATGATTTCCTTGTGTGAGATACCCTTTTTGGTGAGTTCCTGACTGACACATGTAATGTTGTTCCAGGCCACAGTCGTCGTTTTCAAAGAGTAACAATTATGAGGTTTATTTTGTGGCTGATGAATACAGGTGAGTTTTTTCCCGAAGCGAGGATGGTTCAGTCTTGAGTCTCCACCACCATTTCACAATCTGGGAGATATTGAGGGATTTGATAGACCCAACTAGTGGCGAATCCAGAACAAAAAATCACGTGGTTCCTAAATTAAGTGCGGCAAATAAAAAAAATCAACAACACTTTTGAGGTCGGGTCGGGTCGGCTCATGTACCTTAAAAGAACTGAACCAATTCAATCGACTCATGTACCTTGTGCCACCGATTAAAAATTTTAAAAAACCGATTGAAATATAACTGAAAAATGCGTACGGTTTAACGAAAAACTAGTTGATTATTAGTCCATGGATAAAGCGACGAACGGAGAGAGAGAGTCTTTGGAATGTGGGCTTTCATTTTATTAGAAAAACTTATTTAAAATAACAAATTGCATTTAATAACTTATATTTTTCTCTTTTTAAAATGGTTTTTAAGAAATTTTTTTAAAAAACAAACTCAAGGTAGGTCTTCTATTTTTTCTAAGGTAGTTCCTAATTTTTCTACTATATACATTGTAAATAAATTTGAGAACTTAGGTAGGTCCTAGGACCTACCTATGCATATGGTGGATACGCCCCTGGACCCAACGCCTAGTCCACCCATGGTTTTATCAGTGATGACTTCATCCCAAGAAACCCAATGCATTTTTGCTTTGTCATCCGAACCACCCCAAAGAAATCTCCTTCTTAGTTTCTCTAGTTTGTTCAAAACACATGTGGGTGCGACGAAGAGTAACAGGTAATAGTTTGGGAGATTCCCCATAACGGATTTGATAAGTGTCAAATGACCACCAAAGGATAACAACTTCGACTTCCATGCTGAAAATTTGTTCTGAAATCTTTGAATAATAGGCGTCCACTGTTTAGTGAGTTTCATGTTAGCACCCACACGTGCCCCGAGACACGTGAAGGGTAAGAAGGAAGGTTTGCAACCTAAGGGTCTTGATCAACGAGAAACGTCCTACATATTAGCACCAACACCAAAAACTCTTGGTTTTTTGAAGTTTACTTTAAGTCCCGAGGCCGAGTGGAAGAATCGAAGGATTCTTGATATTGTGTTTGGACCATTCTCCTATAAAGAGTGTATCGTTATCGTAGAGGAGATGTGAGATTTCCAGTCCACCATGTGGCAACTATAGTCCTTGAAAGACGCCTGTGTTACACGCCGCATGCATTGCCACACTCAAACCTTCCATGGCAACAACAAATAAGAAGGGAGAGAGGGGCCCCTTTCCTAACTCCTTTCGAATTCGAGAATTCTTCTGTTGGGTTCCCATTGACTAATACTGAAGCATGCACTGAGTTTAGGCAACCTTTCATCCAAAATATCCACATATTTCCGAATCCCATCTGCATGAGATTACTATGAAAGAATTCCCAATTGATGTTGTCAAACACCTTGTCGAAATCGACCTTGAAGAGAAGTACTTGCTTCTTGGATTTCTTTGCCCATGAATAGATTTAGTTTACCATTAGTGGTCCATGTAGAATGCTTCTACTCTCCATATAAGCCGATTGTACCTACTAATGCAATGTCCCATTACCTTTTTAATTCATAGGGCTAGCATCTTGGCGATGATCTTGTGTATGCACCCGATAAGACTGATCGGGTCCTTGGTTTTGGGGATTAGGGAGATAAAGGACGAGCTACATGATTTATCTAGTCGTTCAAAGTACTTGACCACAGCCGCAAGGTCTCCAAATAGGACCTACCAATATTTGTTTATGAAGTTGAATGTGAAATGTAATTCTTTGTTACATTATAAGTTTATTTATCCAACTGTTTGTATTTCCTTTGGGACTCGGTGAGCTGTAAGCTTCAACTCAGCATGTCGATAGGGCTTTGGCTTCGAAAATTAATGAACCAACTCAGCGAGTCGAGGTGTCTCAACTTGGCGAGTTGGCGGTTGAAAAGGAAACCCTAACTTTTTGGGTGTTGCACCCTATTTAAAGACCTTAAGTCCCTTGGCTGGCCTCTTTACCAGCCTCCTCTGCCTAGAAACCCTAATAGTGTGTCTCATCTTCCTTTCTGAGTGTGTGAGCTTGTGGAGGGCCTTGAGTGTTGATCTTTTTGTACTCATTTGAAGAAGCTTTGAAGTTGAAGGTGTATAGCTTGGAGGGAAGACTTAGATCCAAAACCTCCCCACTTGTTGCAGTCTCTTGGAGGTATCAAGTTTATACCTTTCTTTGTTGTCGTTTAGATCTCTTTGTTTTAGGGTTTTATCTTGCTTTTGGGCTCACAGTTGGGTTGTCCAAGAAGTTGAGTGTTCTAGGGGTTGCTATGTTAGATCTGACCATTTTATGGCCTCATTTGATTAAAGTTGCAAGCTTTACTAAGTTCTAGGTCCCATTCATGCAATAAGTCCTTTATTAAGCCCATCTTGAGCCCTAGGGTTTCTTTTTTAGCATGCATGGACGTAAAGTTGGAAACTTTACGTGATTTTCCAGTCATTGGATGCCAGATCTGTATTTTCGGAGTATCTCTTTGGAGTTTAAGGGCTTAATGGGTCAAGCCTCACTCTAATGAGTCTAGGGTTCGGGTTTGACTCATTTTGATGGTTCTTAAGGGTAAAGTTGGAAATTTTACCCTTCTAGACATCATTTTCGAGGAGATTTGAGATTTGGAGTTCCTAGATTCGATGGAAACAGCTTAATGCATTAAGTTGTTAGATTTCTGGCTAACTCGGCGAGTTCATTAGTGAAATCGGCGAGTTGATAAGATTTTTCCTGATCTTTGCAGTTAATGGAGAAACATGGAGAGTTGAAGGACAACTCGGCGTGTTGGGTCAACATGGGCCGTTGACTTTGACTTTAGTATTTAACCAAGTTTGACTTATAAGGGGGTTTGGGGCATTTTGAGTTGTATTTAAGGAATTGTTTCTGTTTAGGGGTTGAGTAGAGCTGATATTCGGAGTCGAGACCTAGTCAGCTATAGTTCAGTATTCAAGGTGAGTCTTCTCACTACACTCATGGGTCGAAGGGACCAAGACCGGTCCATTAATTGTTATGATATGATTTGTATTGGAGTATGTAATTGTTTGCTATTTGATCTATATGTAGACTTATGTGTAGTTCATGGGAGGAGCCC